ATTCTATTCTATTCTATTCTATTCTATTCTATTCTATTCTATTCTATAAATAGATTGATCTTCTGTGATTGCTGGCTGTTCTTGAAAGCTTTGTAATAAATCTGATGAATTCTATACCTGATGGTTTGGGAATCTCCTTTTTCCATGACACATACCTAGTACTAAGTTGGTATATACTGGTGCATACCAATACTGTACAGGATGCATACCTTGTACTGACTGGGTATGAACTATACCTGTTATTTATGTTCTAGGTACATACTGATACCTATCTGGTATGTACCTGGTACTTACAAGGTACCTACTGATTACCTACCAAGTATTTATCCAGTAAGTATGAAGTATTTGGCATGTATGTACCTGCTCATGCAGCAGAGTATCAACAATGAAGAACAGTGTACCATGTTTGCAGCCTTCGTCATCTTTGCAGTGAGCGTGTCCAGTTGATTTTTCACATTGTTGACGTCAGAGTTTGCCCTGTTGCTCAAAGGCAGTGCCCCAACACAGTTCTTTTCTTTTTCACAGGAAAGAGCTCCCTCCGGTGGGCACAGATCCCCTGCCTCACACTGAAGAGGAGTGCAGGGCTCTGATCGAACACTTCCACACACCTAAAAACAAAGTCTGAAATTATTTACAGCAAACATCTTCAATACAGAGAATGAACTTTAGGTGCTGCAGGTGCTGCAGGTCTGTTTGATCAGTGCATCAAACAGACACATCCTAATGAAGATTACTGGTTGGAGTTTATCAAAGACACATCTTAATGAATTTGTCTGGTTGGGCTGGTTAGTCAGCCAACGCTTTTGCTACCCAGAAGATGATAACTCCTGCATAAGGTTTGACCAAAACAGATATAACTCCACCCTGTCTCAATATAAAACGAGTTCAGTTAAACATTACAGCATTAAATGTCAAAGGCAACCTGCATTCCTTCAAGAAATGTTGTGCCGTCAATTCCTTCAGTTTATTCATGTAGATGTAGTTATATATAAAAAAAAAACTTGTGTCATTACAGTTTTACTTTAAAGTAGAGAAGTTAACTTTGGTAAGGCCCTGAACCTTCCGTCGGCTCCCTGGGCACCTCAGGTGGTGACCCTCTGCTCTACATGCATGCTCACATGTGTGATGGGAAACATGCAGAGAATGACTATCCCCATTGGGAATTAACAAAGTAACCATTATTATTATTATTATTACATACCTGTTTAGCAACAGGAGTGAGGTCCAGCTGTGAGGGCATGCTGATGTTGAGCCGATTCAGTTCTCTGATGTTGGTTTCTTGTACTCGATCCTCGATGTCTCTCGTTTCTTTTATGAGGTAAGTTGCCTCCTCTACTATGTTTGTACTGGTATTCACTTTCTTTGCGGTGTCTGTTGACTCTTCATATGCATTCTTGATGGTGATAAATGCTCCTGTATCAAGAGTCAGAGTCAGAGATTCTTTATTGTCATTCGCACCTCATTTGGTACATGTGGTGGAACAAAATTATGTCCACAGGGTCCCAGTTACATCCAACAATAAAATGTATAAGAAAAACAGTAATTACATCTAAGATATGAACTAAGAAAAACATCAACTAAATATACACTAAGCACTCATAACATAAAACATTGAACATCAGCACAAACATGAACATGAGTCTGTGAGCAGATGTGCACGCATGAACACATCAACATTAAATACATCAAATAAAACAAGTCAAACTTTGGAATGTATGCTATGAATGGATCAGAGAGAAAATAGTAAAATGGCAAATAGTACACTTTGGGAAAAATCTTTTCAGAACACATTTTTATAATCTTTCAATTTTTATTTTCAAATCAGTTTTTTATTTATTAATTTTTATTTATTTTAATAGCACAAATTCACTGCAAAAGTCATCTCAGGGCATCGCACAAAAACATTTATCAACATATCATAACATATCAACATTTATCCTGTAAAAAGATCTGAAGCTCTCGACCTTTGACCTCTCTAAGTGTCTTTAAGAATCTGTTGGACTCCTGGCAGGGACCAATGCAGACATGTTCCTGTTTTAAGTTTTCTACATTCACCTTAGAATCTAGCTGTATTTTGTTACTTTTTTTGCATCTTATTTGTAAAAAAAAAAATATGTATGCCTTTTTATAACTGTCCTTTGTTGTCATCTTTCTTTGTTAAAACCAGGTCTCTCTTGTAAATGAGTCCGAGGCTCAATGGGACTAACCTGAATAAATAAAGGTTGAATGAATGAAAAATTCACATACATTATAAAATGCTAGTATTTAGTATTTATACTTAGTATTAAGTTATAGTATGGTATAGTATAGTACAGTACAACAAAGTATAGTATAGTATAGTATAGTATAGTATAGTATAGTATAGTATAGTACAGTACAGTGTAGTATATAGTACAGTACAATGTATTATAGTATGATGATGATGATGATGATGATATTTTTTATTTCAGACAGACATTTCACCAACAAAACATAATAATAAAGACTTTCATGTTTCTAAGTGTAAATACAATATCTTACTATCAAATATACATATTAAATTTTTATATACTCAAATACATGTAAATACTCCACTTTTTTGGTGACTGTGAGTCTTAAAAGGAGTAGATGAAGTTTAACTTATATAATCATACCCCTTTTCCATTCATTAATTCATAGCATAAATAGTCTTCCTGTTGCCAGTATGCTTTCCAAAAATAATAATAATAAACAAATAAATAGTAATAATAATAATAACTATACTATTTTCTGGACCAGATGAAAGTAATACACACACACATAGATATACATACACATCTACCTGCATAAATACATAGATAATATTTACCTATTTACACACACACAAACCAGCACCCAATTGCCCAGTTCATCCACAGTTCTAGAATTACCAGCCAGTTCATCACCCCTGTTCATCCTTATACTTTTGAATAATAACCATTTTGAGTGTTTTTTTTTAAAACACCTCATGCTTGGACTTTGCTTCAACTCTTTGGTCAGTTTATTCCAGATGTTCACACAATGACAGAAATGCACATTCTCTTCATTGTTGTTCTAACATTCAAAGTTCTGAAATTTAGGTTTTCTCTATCGTCATGTCTCCCGACTCTATCAGTAAATCATTTTGAATATTTTCTGGTAATAGTTTGTTTCTAACTTTATACATAAATTGTGCAGTTTGAAACTCTACCAAATCTGTGAGTTTCAGGAAATAAGAATCTATAAATAAATTGTTGGTATGACAATAAAAATCAACCTTGTGAACTATTCAAATGGCTCTTTTCTGTAATGTGCATAATGGTTGAAGTGAAGTTTTGTAAGTGTTGCCCCAAATTTCCACACAGTAACTTCATCCATCCATTATCTTTACCCGCTTATTCCATTTTGGGTCACGGGGGTCGCTGGTGCCCATGTCCAGCAATCACTGTGCGAGGGGCGGGGGACACCCTGGACGGGTCTCCAGTCCATCACAGGGACACATAGAGACAAATGAGACAAACAACCATTCACTCTCTCACTCACACCTAGGGACAATTTAGAGTTACCAATCAGTCTAACATGCATGTTTTTGGTCTGTGGGAGGAAACTGGAGCACCCGGAGAAAACCCACGCATGCACGGAGAGAACATGCAAACTCCACCCAGAACGGCCCCTGGACCGGGGTTTGAACCAGGGACCTGCTCGCTGAGAGGCAGCAGCTCTACCAGTTGCACCACCGTGCTGTTCTACACAGTAACTTAGATATGGTAAAATAAGTGAGCAGTAAATAATATGAAGGGCAGAAGAATTTAGAAATTTTCTAGCATTAGAGAGAACTGCAATACGTCTAGATATTTTAGATTGAACATATTTAATATGAGGTTTCTAACAGAACTTATTATGAATCAATACTCCCAAAAACAGAATTTCAGTCACTCTCTCCACAGTCACATTATCAATTATTATTTGTAAATCGCTATGCCCTTTACAATTCCTGAATAACATAAACTTGGATTTATCTAAATTTAGTGATAATTTGTTAATATCAAACCACTTTTTCAATTTACATAGCTCTAAATTAATTTCTATCAAAAGCTGCTGTAAATTTTCACCTGTACAAAAAATGTTTGTGTCATCTGCAAATTAAACAAAATTAAGTATTTTAGAAACCTTACATATATCATGTATGTATAAACTAAACAACTTTGGTCCCAATACTGAACCCTGGGGAACACCACAAACAATGTCCAAGCAAGAGGACTGGAAATCACCCATTTGTACAAATTGTTGCCTGTTTCTAAGATAACTTTTCAACCAGTGCTAAACTACTCCTCTTAAACCATAGCGCTCTAGTTTCTTGATGAGTATTTCATGATCAATTGTATCAAATGCTTTTTTTAAGTCAATAAATACCCCAAGGGCAGGTTTATTTTTATCTAGTGCACTGGTCACTGCTTCTCAATTGAAGAACTGACATCGCTGTGGATCTTTGTGACCTAAATCCATACTGACTCTCAGCGAGTAATTTGAGTTTACTAACAAATCTATCCAATCTAGCAACAAATATTTGTTCCAGAATTTTGGAGAGTTGTGGAAGTAATGAAACAGGCCTGTAATTTGTGAAATGATGTCTATTCCCAGATTTATATAGTGGGATGACTTTTGCAATTTTCATTTTTTGTGGAAACATACCTGTTTGAATTGATAGATTACAAATGTATGTGAGCGGCTGAAAAATTTACTTAATCACCTTCTTTATTATTATTATATCAATGCCGTCACAGTCAGTTGACCTTTTATTTTTACATTTATTTACAATATCTATAATTTCTTTTCCTTCCACTGCTGTGACAAACATGGAATCTGGATTTCTACTAACTAATGTGTCATTTAGTGTTTCTTCTACTGTGGCCTGCGGGATTTCTTCAGCCAATTTAGGCCCCACACTTACAAAATATTTATTAAAATGATGGACTATCTCTTCTATGCTATTAAGGTTTTTATCATTATTTGTAAAGTGTTGAGGAAAGCTAGTATGCCTGGAGATTTTTCTAATGACACTATTTAAAATATTCCGGATACCTTTAATATCATTTTTATTTCTATCCAACTGTTTGCTGTAATAATCTTGTTTTGCTATGCGTAAAATAGCGGTTAATTTATTCTTATATTTCTTGTATTTATTTTCAGCCTCAATTGATCTATGCTTTATGAAGTCTCTGTATAGTTTGTTCTTTTTTACAGGCATTTTGTAGTCCCTTTGTGATCCATGGAGTTTCTGAGTACTTATTTTTATGAATAAACTTTATATTGGGACAATATTTATCATATAATGATTTAAAAATATTCAGAAAATTATCATATGCTTTATCCATTTCATTTTCTTTCAATACAGACTCCCAATTTTGTTTAGATAATTCATCTTTAAATGCTTTTATAGATTCTTCAGTCCTTAATCTTTTAGATATTGGATTATTCTTACTCTTATCTTTCATGTGGCGGTTGTCACAAACAACAAAAACAGGTAAATGATCACTTATATCATTAACTAATAATCCACTTATTGTATTATTATGTATCACATTTGTAAATATATTGTCTATTAATGTTGCGCTGCTAGATGTGATTCTGGTAGGTCTTGTAATTTGAGGGAAAAGGCTCAGACTGCATGTAGTATTAATAAACTTCAGTTGATTTGTGATTGTTTACATTCAGCAGATCAATATTAAAGTCGCCACAGATAAAATAGTTATTTGGTGTCTCAGTTGTGTAGGTTTTCTCAAACCATTCTGTAAAGAGGTCCATATTAGAACCAGGAGCCCTATATATCCAAACAGAACCCAAACAGAAAACCTTGGCTGAATGCAGAGGTGCGTACCCTGCTGGAAGCCAGGAACACTGCCTTCAGGTCTGGAAACTCAGAGGAGCTGAGTAGGACAAGGAAAGAGCTGGTTGCTGGTATTAAGAGGGCCAAGGCCACATATGCACAGAGGATCGAGGGTCAATTCATCTCACAAGACCCTCGGAGCATGTGGAGGGGCATTAAGTGCATAACAGATTATAAAGGAAGGAGTGAACAATGCCCCAAAGACCCATCTCTGCCTGATGCCCTCAACAAGTTCTATGCACGCTTTGAAGACCCGAACAGACCACCCAGCACCAGACTCACCTCACCACCGGATGAAGAGCATCTCAGCGTGACCTCAGCAGAAGTAAGGAGTACCTTCAGGAGGATTAATCCACACAAAGCAACTGGCCCAGACAACATCCCCGGAAAAGTGTTGAAGGAATGTGCTGATCAGCTCTGTGAGGTGCTGGCAGACATCTTTAACACCTCACTTACTCTGGAGACAGTTCCCACCTACTTGAAGACTGCCACCATCATCCCAGTCCCAAAAAGCTCTACGGTGACTGGTCTGAATGACTATCGGCCAGTG